AATAGCCAATAATGTCCTTCAATTCTTTTCACATTAAATCTAATACGTGTACCCTCTAGTCTATGCATATCTTTATCTAGAAGTATCTTTAATGAGCTATATGCCCAAATTACCCATGGTTTATTTTTTTTTTGCCTAAAGTATTATATTTATCTTTCCGGAACAATACAAAATAGTATAATTATATCTTCAATAGTTCCCTCCATCAGCATTGGTAAATATTTATATCTCTGCTGGTTTTTAATGTACTTCAGGCTCTTGTGCTAGGTATAATCTCATAGGTTTCTTCCTATAAATAGTGTCTCTAAATCCAAAAAAGAAATATCAGTATGACCATCTCCAAATCATGAGGGGCATAATACAACTTGAGCTTCTTCAATTTTCTTGGAGCATAAGCTTTCACCCGACCAGTTTACATAAAAAATATCCTAATCCTACCCTCGTAGCATCACAGAACATCGTATATCCTCTAGAATCTATTGGAATAAGGCTAATAATGGTGTGATTGTCAAATATCCCTTAGGCTTCTGGAGTCTCATCGTACATTCCTCCATCCACTGAATTTTGACGAATTTCTATGTTAACTTGGTGAGTGGTGGTGCTATTCTAATGAAATCCTACCCAAATGCCTATAGTAATCTGTTAAGCCAAAAAACAAAATCAATTTCTGTAGGAGAAATGGATCTCGGCCATTTATGAACTGCTTTTATCTTCTTAGATTCTACCATCTTTTCATTATTAGTTACCATGTGCCCTAAGAATACCACCGAGTCTAGCTAAGACTCACAATTGACGACTCGGCAAAAAAGTGATTTTTCTGCAACATTTGTTTTACATATTTTTCAAGTTATTCTCGTGCTCTTATTGTCTAAGAGAATATACCAAAATATAATAAGTAAAAATTATGAATTTGTTTCTTTCAAAAATAACTTTGAACACCATATCCATTATATACATTTATGCAGTTAGAGCATTGGCCAGTCTAAAGGACATCACAAGTAACTCATAATGTTTGTACCAAGTACTAGAGGCAAACATCAAAATATCTTTCTTTCTTATTTTAAGTTGATGATAACCAGACTAAAGATCAATGACTCCTTGTAACAGATCAAACAAGTTATCTATACAAGACAATGGGTATTTATTGTGTATTGTTATCTTATTTAATTATCTGTCGTTGATGCACATTCTTAAGAACTTATCCCCCTTCTGTTTTCAAACAATATTGGTGTACCCCATGGTGAAATACTCGATATGATAAAACCCGTATCCAGTAGGTCTCACAATTGTTCAATCAGCTCTCTCAACTTCATCGGTTCCATATGATATGGTTTGCATGTCATGTGTCGAATCAATACCGAAGTCTATTTCTCATATTGGAGGTAGTCCTGGTAAATCCTTAGGAATACATTAGAAAATCTCTCACTATTATACTTTTATTTTTCAAACTAAGTTTCACATCTCTTGGATCTCTTTACGAAAGTTGCGAGACCCTAACTACTCTTACTCAATAATTGTAGAGCCTTTTTAAATGATATAACCTCGACTATCACTGGGATATGCATATCTAGAAAACCTTTGCATGGTAATAAAAAGTAATGTAATAAGATAATAACCAATCACACCTATAAGCACGTCAAAATTAACAAGGTCAAGTACAATATGGCTAGATAGGGTATGATTTCTCTCACTTTGAATCTGATAAGCTTAATAGAAAGTTTCAATTGTACGATACTCTTCCATAAAAGTAGCAACTATTAAAGGATCTCATAATATCTCATTTATCTAACTCTTCGTCCCATAGAAGAAAAAGAAATTCATACTACGAAATTTTTTAGTCTCTACCTTCTCAAATGAATTCTTAGTTGCATGCCAATCACATCCAGTTCTTAATTTTTTTTCTTTTTTTTCCTAGAAAGTTTAACTTTCACATAATAGGTAAGAGTCTTCGTATGTGAGATTATTGTCTTGTTTAAATGGTTAATCAATAATTAGACAAGCCTCTCAACCTAAGGCGGCATGTCCTAGATAGCTGATAAAGTCTGGGGTCACGTGTCAGTACATCTATCATCTGAATTAATTTCTTACGTACCTATCAAGTTTGTACTTTTGACTATCGAGAAGGAAGCGATTCATAAAAAATTTACTAAACTTATTTCTAAGTCATTTGTGTCACTCCTAACCGCATCCCTAACAATATGGATACATTTCATATATTCGTCATGTACTCTAGTCGATAAGTTGCTAGATCCACAAGCCTTTCGCTGGAACATTATAGAGCTCATAATGCTTTAAATGTTTAGCCAAAAACTTCTAAGGATGATTAAAGTGTCAAAAACAATAAACTTTATGTTTTCAATTTTAGGAACTCTAATAACTCTATGCTCCGGACAATCTTAATACGAGATGCCTAAAGCTTTTATATCCATAATCTATTACCCTTTTTTTTTTGTCCTGTCCACCAATTATATCTATCAAGCTCTCAATTATTCTCTACATGGAGGTAAGTACCTCAATGATAATAATTTCCTAGCCATGATGGTGATCTAGTACTTAATTCAAGAGTGAATTTTATTACATATCTTAGTGGTATGGAAGCCCCTCATTGTGGTGCAACAATCTTTCATTGGCCTTATTTAATACTTCTATTGATGTCCTTTGCTAGGAGACAGTTGCTGTCCAGTGGCAGTATTTTAATGTCCTTAAACCTTTGGCCAAACTCTATTATTGAATGACTGGTCTGCGCCATACATGAACAAGATAAAAGGCGACGTTCAGTTATTTGACCCTAATCTCCACATGCGTATGGAGGAATAAGAAAGAAAGACAAGAAACATCCTATCACGCCCATGCAGAATCACGATTATGGGAATGACCGGCTACATAACCATAATTGAGATTCAACTACCGATATGTGCTCCATTAATCACAAGAACAACCTAAAGCTCTTATACCAACTTTGTCACGACCCAATTTAGGGTCGTGACCGGCGCTTACGAGCAAGTACTCCCAAGTAAGTCTCATCGATATTTTACAGAAAATCGGACGGAGTTTTCCCTGTTTTAGGACTTTCCAAAAAGTTTTCCTGTCTCATAAATAAATAACAACCAACCAATATTCACCTAAATCAGTCACAGTCTTCATCAACTAACTGAAAATGAGTTTTAACCAACACTACCAACACTAGAAACCTTACCAATATAATAATACTAAACCCATCTCAAAAATACGAAAAGACAATACTAGTAACTAGTCCAACATAACGAATGAATACTCATGACACTAATAAAAATAATTATGGAGCGACTTTAAGAGTTCAAAATAAAAGACGATAACAATAAATAAACTATTCGCCCACGCGAACTAGTGTGGGGCTCATCAGGAACTATCAACTCGTGTACTCTAATTAACGAAATCCTCCCTCACATCAACTGTTGATCTATAAAATAAATAGTGGGGAGTGAGTCTCTAACTCAGTGAGTAATAAATTTTAACCACAACCGTTTTTAATTGGAGACACGTCAGAAATACATGCATGTATAACATTAATCAAAAGTTATTACAAAAACTAAATGTACTTTCAAAACGGTAACAATAATCAGTCTCATCATGTGTTTCCTGTAACAAAAATCAATTAAATAATTCGGTAATAAACTCGGTAAGCGCTGTGTCATATCAATTCTTTATATTTGGGAGGTTTCCAAGAAAGTATCATGTAATATGTATTATTGTGTGTACCCTTTCATAAAAGGAGTCAAATATAATTGTACGTCCCTACTCGAGGGAAAACTGTAATTGTATGCTAGTTCTACCTTCCCACTAGCGAGGGCTATAACTGTAATCGATAATCTATAAATACAAGGTGCACCCGGTATAACGAACCCATCGTTAGCTACAGGATCCTTCAAAGTCTCCTCCCATTTATACTTTTCTTTGTAAAAAGTAAATATTCATACGAAAACAATTTCAAAATAGTACAGGGCATTTCAATTCTTATCAAATCATGTAATCCCATTTAGGTAACAATAATCATATCTCAAATAACAGTAAAACATGTCTAGTAACAGTGAGAACATTTTAAATAGTTGTAAACATCTCAAGTAAACTGTTCAGTACCATATCAAGTAAAGGACTTGTCCCACATATAATTTTAAAGATTCGGTAACAAATATCATTTTCAAAATCATGTATAAACTATGCAGGTTATGAAAACACAAGTTGCGGTAAGGTTACTACTCACAGTACTCATGCCGAAATATCGAATGCGTCACCTCGAACACTCCGTACGACTTTCTTCGGTCTATAATCACATCACTTGATCGTGTTAATGGCCTTCTTTAGGCTATTTCATAACTAATTTAGAGTACCCAACCCTCGAGATTACACCTTTAATTGTCAATTCGTCCAATTAATATTTATCCATGCTTCAAGTTACTCAACACATTCAATATTTATTCTTCTATTAAAAAGCTGTCATATTATTTAATCATGGTATTGTTCAACAAAATATTTTTCTCTTAAACATGTGAATAAGCCCAGATTTAATAGCGTTGCTGGCTATACATATATAATTGGTATTTAATATTCATTACCCAATGAAATTTTCATATACACAAAGAGTAAACTCAAGCAAACCGTAAGTAAGAAAAATTACTTTGGGATTGAAAGGTGGCTTCTACTATTTTCTTTCGCTTCTGTGTTCCATGACACAAGATTCCACCACAAAAGCTATTTGATCACCATCCTTTTGTCCTTCATGGTTAATTTCCAAAGCATCCCTTGTTTTTAATTTCAATTACTTTCAGTTCCTTGGCCGACCAAAGTCCTTATCTTTTGCCCAAATATTAATCTGTTTTTTTCTTCTTCTTTATTTTGGTGGCTAATATGCTTATCTTTATAAAACCCTTAAGACTTCATGGTATCAGGTAGAGGCTTCGGCCCATTAAGATGCTTTATACATACTTCTTTTCTTCATTTTATTTTCTATTTTATTTTTAAAGTTTTTGCCTAAATGGAAATTATCCCCTTATTTTAATTATAGGATATTACACCACCGATCTCCAAAGCCTCTTCATCCAACTGTAGCTTCATGGCCTTTTAATACATGGGGACTTGATATTGTTGGACCGCTTCCAAAGTCATCAAAGGGACATATGTACATGTTGGCCGCTATAAACTACTTCTCTAGATGGGCTGAAGTTGTTCTACTCAAGGAGCTGAAAAAGGAAACTGATGTCGATTTTATCTCGTCATATATAATTTTTAGATATAGCATACCAAGATACATAATCACTGATAATGGAATGACATTTGACAATAAGCTCGTGAAGAGTCTGTGCGAGAAGTTCGGTTTCAAGCAACATAAGTCTTCAATGTATAATGCACCCGCCAACGGCCTTGCTGAAGCTTTTAACAAGGCGCTTGGTAATCTTTTGAAGAAAGTTGTTGCAAAGAATAAGATAGACTGGCATGAGAAAATTGGTGAGGCTTTGTGGGCATACCGGATAACCTTCAGAACTTCTACACAATCAGCTCCTAACTCTTTGGTGTATGGCATAGAAGCAGTCCTTCCAATGGAGCAACAAATTCCATCATTGCGGATCGCAATCCAAAAAGAACTCACATCCGAAGAGAATGCTTAACTTCACCTAGCAGAGTTAGAGGCATTGGATGAGAAAAGATTGAAAGCGCAACAAAAATTGGAGTGCTATCAAGCTTGATTAGCTAAAGCCTTTAACAAGAAAGTGTGACCACGATCATTCCAAGTGGGAGACTTGGTCCTAGCTGTTCGAAGACACATAATCCTCAACAAACGCATGAGCGACAAGTTTACATCAAAATGGGATGGGCCGTATGTTATGAAGGAAGCTTATTCAAGTGGCACATACAAAATCGTTGATAAGGAAGGTCTCAGAGTAGGTCCAATCAACGGCAAGTTTCTCAAGCAGTACTTCCCATGAAAGTCATCTATGCTCCTCGATGCACGAGCCTAAACTGCAAGTTATGACGCTCCTTGATGCATGAGCCTAAACTGCACGTTGTTGTGCTCCTTGACGCACAAGCCTAAACTGTAAGTCATGACGCTCCTTGACGCATGAGCCTAAACTGCACGTTGCTGCACTCCTTGACACACAAGCCTAAACTACAAGTCATGACGCTCCTTGGCGCATGAGCCTAAACTACACATTGTTACACTCCTGACCCGTATGAGTCTAAACTGTGTACGGCAAAAAAAAAGATCTGCTATGTTAAAAACCTCAAAACAGGTGGCCTAGGCAAAAGTCAAGACAAAAAAAAGGCTTGGTTGAAAACAGTCTTGGTTGAAAACATCACGGGAGGCGGCCTAGGCAAAAAAAATTAGGACATAAAAAAAACAAAAAAAAAACTCATCCATTTGAACTACGTTATGACTTGATCCTCTTCACCAAGGTACGTAGGCAGCTTAGACTTTCATTCTAAGTTCAGTAGCGTGAGTTTTATAAAAAAAAAAGGGTTTTGCTTATGGGATCATCACATTAACTCTTTCAAGTACTGGGACATATATAAATACGAGAAGGAAGACAATTTCCATTGAAGTGTAAAAGATATTTTATTGCTTCAATGTTACAAACGTTGATACATCCAAAATTGTGGAGACGAAAGAGATTAGACATTATCCTATACAAAGCCTAAGTAATGAAAATGATCGTAAACTAGGATTTGTTGCTGACGCGTCTTAAATGCTTTTCCAAGTCTGTATGACGTCTCTACATTTAATGCCATTCTCGATGTATGTCTCTCGCGTTCAGTAGTTGTGATGATCTCTTGACCACGTATCTTGTTGTTAGAGCTCGCGCATGATAGTTTTTTTCTCTTGTGCAAGTGTTGGTTGAAGGTCCCATATATGAGAAGTTGTCTCTCTTGAAAAACCTTCAATCACCATGGGAGCCGCCACTGATGAACTTCAAGACTATCAACAAATCAAGTGCAACAATTGGTGAAGGGGTGGCTTCACATCTTGTATGACACCTCAGTCTGATATCTGGACCCCTTGAGCTTCTTTGCGAGTATGCAAAAGAAATAAATGAAGAGATAATATTTGTGATGCATGATAGCTAAATTTACTACATGCAAGACTCTAGAGTCAATTTCAAGAAGAAAAAAACATTTGTAGGACAACTCAGAGAGCATAGAGTTGGAAAGCAAGCTCAACGGACGACGGAATCAACTTTGGAAAACTAATGCGGTCCATCTGGATGATGTTCTGCCCCTAACATTTTATATGTTGTAGATTTGGATGTCTAATTTCCAACAACATAAACCGTTTGTGATTTGGAAGCTTCTAGCTCAAGATACGATTCTTTTTGCCGGAACTATACGAATCTGAAAGTTTACTGTAGCTAGGTCGCACTTTGAGAATTTTCTGTTTTCAGCCCAAAAGAAGTTTTACCATAAAATTTATATGTGATGCAGCTCTATGAGTTTACTTTCTAATGGCGCAAACTGATCATAATTGGAGATTTGTAGCTCAAGATATGAATTTTTCCACTGGAGCGCGCAAAGCCAAAAAGCAGCAAGGCAGATGTCTAGAACAATTTCAAGAAATTGTTACGGCCAATCTGGAAGGAATAATTCTATGATATTTCTAATTTTCTTATCTCTGAGTCTTCTTTCAGTAGGCGTAAACGGTTTGTGATTTCAACATTTCTAGCCAAAGATATGTTTTCTTTATCTAGAGTGCGCAAATTTAGAAATCAAGTGTGGCAGATGTCTGTAGCAACTTTAAAATATTATGGCAGACGTTCTGAAAGGATTTTTGCCTTTGTATTTAAAAATTTTTGAGTTTCGGAGTTGTCTTTCCAACAGTACAGATGGCTCGTGATTCCGAAACCCGAAGCTCAAAATATAAATTTCTCGATGGGAGTTGTCACGACCCAAAATACATTAATCGTGATAGCATCTAACCCAACCCGTTAGGTCAGCCAATTGACAGTTAACACAATTCTAATAAAATAAAGGTGATCAACAAATGCTACATTTGGATTTCCATACAATATCTCAAGAACTGGTAGTACAAGTTATGAGCTACTAAGAGTGGATTATTGCAAAAACTAATATGAAATAGATACAACTTCTGTTTGAAATGTACATAAACTGAATTCAATTTTAAAACTACCTAGGGACAAGTGGTAGCCACACCTGGAAGGCACGAACATCTTCAGAGTGGGCTCCCATCATCCACCGCAGCTCCGCTCCAAGATCTGTACATAAGGTACAAAAGTGTAGTATGAGTACAACCGACCCTATGTACTTAGTAAGTATCTTGACTAACCTCGGTGAAGTAGTGACGAGACTTTTTAGTTAAAAGATACTCACTGATATAACATGTAAAGTAAAGTAGCAATAGAACAATACTACAATATAACAAAAAAGAGTACACGAAACGAATATGCGAAGCAATAAATGAGTATTAGAAGAGATCACAATTTAATATTTCCCAATATCTCGACCAATCCTTTCCTTAGAGTGATAACTAATAAACCAAGATAGTAACTCCATAACTTTCATAATGTGAGAAATGTACTCAAGATATCAAGTCAATGGCACGGCAACACCCTTCGTGCATTTATCTCATCCTCACCAAATATACGTATAACAGTACCAACCGGGTGAAAGAAATACAAATAAAAATAATGACAAAGTGAAAAATACACAGGTAGCAATAACGAACAAGGCAGTACATATGGACAACGGTAACAGACTAGATATAAGGCATAGAAATTATGATAGTAAATGAGAAAGAAGAATATAAATTTCACTAACTAGCATGGTAGAAGGCCTAGGTGTAGATATAACAAACAAGAAGGAAATCATGATCTTTATGATCTAACAACTAGAAGGCATGAATAACTAACATGATAGGAAGCTTATATGAAAGTGCAACAAATGAGGAACGACATGGATGTAGATATAACAACAAGAAGGAAAACATGATATTTGCAAGTTAAAGAAATAGAAGGCATGGGCAACACAACAACAATTGAGATAGAGAACAAAGACAGAACAACAACGACAAGTTACATAGAAAACATAGGTACAACAGTAACAACTCAAGGTAAAGGCATGAACGTATACACAAGAAAAATATATCACAACATAATGCATGTCCCTCGTCCTCGCCTGCACAGAAATATCCTTCGTGCCATGAACCCATGATAATATAAAAGCATGATAATATATATGAAATGGCACGGCATCACCCTTCGTGCTTTTACACTCATCCTCACATGTTAATGTAAATGAGAACACGATAATATAAATGAAACGGCACAACATCACCTTTCGTGCTTTTACTCTCATCCTCACATGATAATGTAAATGATATCATGATAATGTAAGTGAAATGACACAGCATCACCCTTCGTGCTTTTACTTTCATCCTCACATGATAATGTGAATAAAATAGCACGACATCATCCTTCGTGTTTTACACTCTTCCTCACATGATAATGTATATACAATAGCACGGCATCACCCTTCGTGCTTTACGCTCTTCCTCACCAAGTATATGTATACCAATGATAAGCAAGGCAGGAAGCATGAATAACATCAAGGAGAGTGTTTAAGCAAATATTCCAAATGAATATCAATTACAACTTTCAAGCCAATAACTATTCAATAAACCTCAAGTACTTTATTATTCAAGTATTTTAACAAGTCTCAAAAGTGATCTTTAACTCAAGTATAGAATCCAATATCACAAGAATAACGGCTGTAGCAATGTATTAATGATTAAACATAGTGATGGCCGAATTTAACACATCAATGGTTTCACAAAAATCCGTCAAATTTTAATCAAGTTATAATAAGCTAAATCTCGGTTTCTAATATTTAATTTCATATTCTTAGTAATCTAGAAGTCAAGTAAGACATGAAACAAGAAGGTCACATAATTCTACAAGGCACAATTAATCATATAATTTACCCCCGAGTATGATTAACCCTGGTACATGCATATACACTCGTCACCTCATATATGTATCACCCCCGCATGTAGCAAACAATGGCAATTAGTATGGAAAATTTCCTCAATAAAGTTAGGCAAGACACTTACTTTAAACAAGCCAAATTGATATACTAGAAGCACCATCCAGCTCAAATCATCATTCGAATGGCTCGAAACTAGCCAAAAGCAACTCAAAATCATCAAATAATGCCATAGGAAGCAAACCCAATCGATAAAGGTCGAATCTTTACACATTTACTCAAAGTCAACTAAAGAGTCAAACCTGGGCTCGCACCTTAGAACCCGATGAAACTCATAAAATCTGATAACCCATTCAATTACGAGTCCAACCATACTAGTTTCACTCAAATTCGACTCCGAATCGATGTTCAAAACTCAAAAAATCACTTTATAAAATTTTAGACACCCCCTCCCCTCCAAATTTAACTTTGAAATCACCAATCAAATGCCAAAATCGAAGATGGATTCATAAAATATAACCAAAAATGAGTATAGAATACTTATCCCAATCTATGTGGTAAAAAATCTCCTCCAAAATTTCTCAAATCCGAGCTCCCCGACTCAAAATATGACCAAATGAACAAACCATCGATATTAAATATTTCTGCCCAGTTGTTTTGCCTTGTTTCTTATAGC